GAAGACGCCCCGAAAATACCGGTCGGAGAACCGAAGAAACGGCGTAGGGACCAGAAACTGGCCGCGGAGCGCCGCCGCCAGAGAGTGGAGAATCCAGCAAGGGAAAATTGTGGGCCCCACAAGGAGTTGGCCATCACAAGCAGGAGGACATCCCGTCGCGCGACAGTGGCACGACGTTGGAGAAATGACTCCAAGAAGGAAACCACCCAGGGAACCTTCGGACGCCAGCGGAGAGAAGGACCGCCAACCGAACAGAGACGGCAGAGTAATTGGGCCAGAGACCATTCTACAAGAGGAGTCCAGAAAGGATGGACTCCCAGAGGGAAACAACTGGTGCCCCAGGAAGGCACCAAGGAAACGAAGAATCGAGACTTCGGGGACCAGCTACGGCTTGGAAACAAGTGGGAATTTAACAAGACCCACAGGAGGACAAAGGGACTGGAAACCGCAAAGCGAAGTTTCACGCCTGTCCCATTACGGAAAATAAGACATTGGACATTGTGGAGGGGTCGACCCCCTCCAAAACGGAAAAAGGGTAACGACCTTTATGGGAGGAACCGGTAAAGTGCCGGCCTCCCCAGCAAGTATGCATGAAGAATGAAAGTGAGGAATGAATGTGAAACAACGAGATTACAAATTCTGGACCACGGGAGTGCTCGAGGGCGAGCACAACCGAAGAGGGGGGCGGAGGCGGTTAGGCTGAACAGAGCACAAAGATGCCAGCAGACACCAAGGCCAAATGCAGACGTTGCCAGCAAACCACCGCGGGATCAAAACCGAGGGAGAATTTTTAGGCTGTTCGGGGACGAACAACCTTTAGAAGGGAGCAATGTAACGTGTCTGGAATCCAGAAGTCACTTCTATGGAAACGCTAGAACAGACCGTTGCATAAGAAGTAACAATAGCGATACTGTAATTCCAACAGTGAGCTGTTGTATCGAGAACATCGAATCTCCACGGTAACGACAAACAAAGCAACGTCTCCATGGTTATAACAGAAGGTTCATTTGCCTAGCAGCGGCGAGGGTATAAATAGGCCAGCTTCGATGAGAAGCCTGAGTCTCGGAATAGTGTTCGGAGAAGAAAGACCTGATCGAGCCATCTTGGAAGTCAGCCTTGGGATAATCGCCAGAAGAGATAGTCCAGCGTCGCCCAGTTATTGTAAGCAGTGATTGTGACACTGCAGACGGGAATGATTGTAAAGTGTGTAAGACGAGCGAAGGAAATAAATCCGCTATATTGGAACGCCGTGAACTTATTTGTAGCGTGACACACCAAACACGCTACAATATGTTTGTCATCACATTGCACAAATAGAATTTGTGCAGATGATCCATTTTCCCCTCCAGTGAGAAGAACAATGTGTCCCTATAGACGGCTATCTTTATTACAGTTTAGTTTTCCTCCTATAATGAAAAATGTAGGCCCTTGAAAGGAGCAGTTCTTCCCACTCCTCCAGTTGGTCCAGTTTGGTCTTCATATCCCTACTCTGTCCAATGGGTCTGAGTGACTTGCCATCTTGCAGTTTGCCCACAGAACAGCCAATTCGTCACCCTCTGCACTTCAACCTGGATGATGGAGGCACCGTGATTGTCAGCCTACAAAAGTACATGGGACCACAATCCAGAAGACTTTGTCTGAGCACTGTAATTAAATAAATATATGTATATGTAAATGTTTCATATTTGGTTGTAAGAATTACCTAGCTTTGTGCTACAGAGATCTCTGAAAGACATGCACTGGACGTGTATGCCAGCTGTAAGGTGTATGGAGTCCCTAATGTTTGGCAACCGACGGCACCTGCTCTGTGCAACGAGATTGCTGAAACTGGAGGACTATAAGGAGACTGACCAGCACTGGTCAGGCATCTCCTCTCAAGAGGAGGCCCCATTTCAAAAATATACAAGTCTTGGAAAGAAAAATATGATCGAGGGTCCCAACAAGACCCGAAACCAAGAGTTAACCGTTCCTGCAAGGGCCAGCGGCAATGTAACTGAGCTACCAACCAGAACTTTACAGTGTCATTACTAGAAGACCGCAATGTGAGACATAAATTTTATGGTGTCCTACCTGACTGTATTTATGTAAAGCAGGAATAACAATTTCATGTCATTATAAAGAGAAACTTAAAGAAAATCATGGTCTTATATTTTATATTAACTTTTAAATTAATATTTGCTAATAAATACATTTAATTCATGTATACAAATGTAACTGCCTTATCAGTTTCCTACTGTGGATTGAATAGAGAACACACGGACATGTCTTGGAATTTTATGGTAGAATGAAATGGGAATGACGAATTGGAAAGGATTTGGATGGGAGTGGTTGTGGTCGAATTGAGGTTCTATCCTGAAATTTGCTGCAGGGAATCAGGAAGACAAGAGAAACCTCACTCGGAGTAGCTGGTGTCCTGCTTGAGATTCTGACTAAGCACCTCCTGTGTATCGAGTCCACTATGCCAACCCCCTCGATACTGTTCGAACTTTCCTAAATACCAGACATGTCCTATATCATGTGGCCACAAGGCAGTGGTTACGTGCTCACTTTCTTTTGATAGTTAAACAGTTCAGTTTTTAAAACTCCCACTTTTGCTCTTAGTCAGCACATTAAAATTGGAACTGACTACTCGTACATGGAGCTGAGTCATTTTTTAGAAGCTGCCAGTTGCTCAGCTAACAAAAATTTTATGTTGTATGGAACGTGAAGGTTCATTTCCACAAGAGCCCGCCACGAATTATGAGGCCCTTAATAACATTTTGTATCAAAAAGATGTTTTTGTGTAGTGAGTTGTCGTTAGCCCCACGTCCAGTTACCAAACTGAAGGACCACCCCTTATCAGCTTTAGACTATTGTTTATTAAATGTACGAGTATTTGCAAGTATCCTGTCTCCGTCTGTAACCCGAGGAAGTGCCATGCTGTGGTGACAAGGGACCCACTTTTAACATAATACAAATAAATCTTATGAATATTTCAAACCATCAGGTCTTAGTGTTATAGAATAGTCTTGTTGTAGCTTATGTAGTAAGTTCCTTGCGTCTCACCATGGAGGTCCTGGTTCGCTTCCAGGATTGTTTATGTTGGATTTGAATAGAACTGCTTAAAATTTCTGTCAGTATTGATG